CCCCCCCCCCTGTGTGTGTGTGTGTGTGTGTGTGTTTATGTCTACCTCAGAACCTTTTCTCACTTAAAAATTTTATATATAAGGTGTGATCAAAGTTGATTCCTGAGATCTCAAGGCAGATTGAACAAAGCTCTACTTCAGGGCATACATTTAGACAGAAATGTCTTCAGGCAGTCTTACATATCCTCATCCTAAATCTAAAATGCCAGCCTTGAGACCTGTGTGCACCAGAGACACAGGTGCATTCCCGCCTGCTCTTTCATTGGTGCTTTCAATTTTAAAATTTGAGACAGCCTTAAAGAGTAAAGGTCTCTGATGGAAATATAACCTGGAGCAGAGATCTACCGCTGGACTTTTTGTGTTGTTGAAAGAATTAAAGCAAAAGAGTTGGCTAACCAATGGAAAGGGGCTTGTCCTGCCCCAACTTAATGTGCCAGAATTTGATGACTCCCCATGGGAGCCCTTACCTGTTGGGAGGAGTGGATGGAAGGGGGAGGAAGGGGTGGGAGATTGTAAAATGAATTTGCTAACATATACATTAATTTTAAATCTTCAAGCTATTTTAGCAAGAGCCTGATATGCCTGAAGATCTATAATGTCTACAGCATATCTGTTATTTTTAATTTATTTTGGAAGTTTTAAGGAGATTATTTTTTAAAAGCCCACTAGAATTCGGAGGCCGCTGTGAAACTTCTCTGTCCCGTGTTCCCTGAAAACCTAATTCTTTTGATCAAACCAGATTTCACAGAGCAGAGATAACAATGTCAGATTAAGTCTCAAACTTCTCAGAAGACAAACATGAATACGCTTGGATTAAAAAAATAAATGCATCGAAACAGTTGAATTTTGGAAAGAAGCCTTGGGAGAAAGGAAGTTTGGTATGGGAGAAAGGAAGTTATGATAACAGCTGTACTAGTGGGGAAAGTGTAGTGTGGGAATGGTGGTAGAGCAGTAGCATTTAAAAGGCCAGGTGTAGTGGGTCATGCCTCTTATCCCTGCACTTAAGGCAGGGAGAGCATGAGCTCTAGTAGAGCCGGGCTTCATAGTAAGACACTGTTTCAAAAGAAAAAAAAAAAGCAAAATATAGAAAAGAAAAAGGGCTCTTCAAAGTATGTGCACTAAGCACACATGTACCAGGTTATATAAGAATGAATTTTGTCATTTTTCCATAAAATTTATATGTGGGTAGTTTGGATTTCTGCCTTTATGAATATGCTTCTTTATTCTGTATGGCTGTGTGTGCTTCATGCTTCTGAGTTGATTTTCGTTTTTGATCTTTAGATCCTACTCAGATGGGAGGCCTGAGCATGTTGCTGTTAGCTGGAGAACATGCTCTTGGAACGCCGGAGGTAAGCCAGGCCTTAGTCTTCATTGCTCTTCACACTGCATTCTGGTGTTTCACCACATTGACATCTGCGTTTTGTTCACCTTGTTGCTTCAGTTCCACCGTTTACAGCTCACTGAGAAACTTTGCCTGTGCATCTAATGTGCTGAGGGTAGCAGAAGTAGTATACACGAGCCAAAAGGACAGACACACAACTCCACTGCAGAATCTGCAGTTGTTAGAACCTAGGAGTAAAAACTACAATACTGTGCATTTTCATTTGTTGTATTGTGTCATGGGTGTGTAATTTGTATCCTAAATAAGTTCACTCAGTTCAACATGTTCCCTGTTGTATCATGTTCTCATTTACATGTGCTTTGGGAAGCCAACAGTAAAAATATGAGACTGTCTGTCTCTCTAGTATCTGAGTAATTCCAAACTCCTGTTTGAAAAATCTGGAATGACAGCATTACAAAACTGTTTCATCCTTTAAAATAGAAAAAGAAAAGGACCCAGGGCCCTCATGACCTTGTTTCTGTGATCTAGTTATTAGTCTGCTTTTCTAAACATTTTTAGACTTGACTCTGCTCAGCTGTGGCACTTAACCACACATAATTTGCATTTGTGGCACCTTCTATTTTCTAGACCCACTTAACAGAGATCAGCTGAATTAACCTGTAGGTCATGTAATTTTGCTACATTCTGAGTCTTCAGATGGAAAATTTCCATTCAAACAAACATAGCTGTTTGGGACAAAATAGCAAGAGCTGTCAATATTCCCATGGAAAATTAATCTAGTAGCAAACCTATCCCTAATATTATTAATTACTGCCATGGAAACATACTGCAAATATTTTCCTTTTTTTTTCATTTTCTTGCTTTTAGTTCAGTTTTATTACAAACCTGTGCTGTTTACTGTTGTTTTAAACTTTGAGTAGGCCAATGTAGACTACAGTTAAAATCTACTCAACTATACAGGCTATTTATACTATGGTGCTGTTGTTACTTATAGTTTTTTATATGGGATACAAAGTGGTTGAGTTTATATTAAATTTAACAAATTTATTTTTTTCATTTTAATGTAGTAAAAGTATTAAATTTTATAGAAATATTTATTCTGGTGTGCAAATCTTCCACTAAAAATCGCATACATGTGACTGCTTTTGCAGCTCATTACTGAGCGTGTTTCCTGCTCCTAATAGCAGCATTGTTGGACATCATTTCCATCCCTAGCTCATAATATGACCTCCTGAGGGCAAAGCACATCCTCTGGAATAGAATGGTCTAAATATTCCAAAGGTGGATGGATGTGAACAAAGTTGGTCTTTCAGCAGTCTGACTCATGACCATTGCAACAGTCAGCATTACCTCTCCTCACAGATTCAATTACATTTTATTCCCAACTTTTTAGCATTCTTTTACCACTTCAGAACAAATATAAGCAAATGATCATTGTAGATCTTCTGTATGCTAGTAAGAAAAAGGAAATTAATTTACTGCTTTACTTAAAATTTTACTATTTATGTGTAAGCAGAGATTGCACCTTCATTTCCCAGCCATCCAGACTCAAATAATCACACAGAAACTATTAATTACAATACTGTTTGGCCAATGGCTTAGGCATATTCCTACCTAGCTCTTATTTCTTAAATTAACCTATTTCTCTTCATCTGTATATCGCCATAAGGTTATGGCTTACTGGTAAGGTTCTGGCAATTTTCTCCTTCAGAGCTACATGGCGTCTCTCTGACTCCACCATCTTTCCTCCTCCTCTCTCTCTGCTTGGACTTCCCACCTTATATTCCGCCCTGCCATAGGCCAAAGCAGCTTCTTTATTAACCAGTGATAATAAAACATATTCATAGCATTCAGAGGGGGAATCCCTCATCACTTAAGCTGTTTTTAGTAAGTTCTGCTTCCTTTAGAAAACATCATTTTGTGACACATAGTGTAAGCATTACAGTGATAGACCTTTTTTTACCCTAATGAAGTGGAAGCATTTTGAGAACTTTGTAGATAAAGAAGCAAACAGTGCGGGAGCAGGTACCTGTAGCAGTAGTTACATCCTTAGGAATCCAGCTTTGTGTTCTTGTTCCCTCCTCTCATCTCAAGAGACATTTAGGTCATTCCTGAAAATAATCTTGAGCTATTAGAACAGTAAAATACTAAAAACTTAAGTAAAATATTATCTCCAAATACCATCAGAGAGCTTACTTTTAGAGACCAGTAGGCTTCAGTTAGTCCACAGATTTCTACCTCACTATTTTTATTGCAAATATGTATGTAGACTTAGTAAACAGAACTTCTGTATAGACAGATTATCCTAAGATAAACACAATAAATATGTATTTAGGTTTTTCCATGAAAATTAAGATAGAGAACAATTCAGAAGTTTTGTATTTTTTTTATATTGGAATAATTACTGTGAAATCTATTTATACTGTTTAGTATGACTAATCAAAGTAACTTCTGTTACAGAAATTCTACCACCGAAAGGTATAATCACAAAGACATTCAAAGTGACATGAGAGAGTCTTATTTTGAAGTAGTCTTAGAGGGAAGGGGCTGTCTTCTTCCCTGGCCTGAGATTTCGCCACATTTACAGAGTTCTAAAGAGAATCCTTTTTTAAAGTGTGGAATTTAATATAGGAAATACAGGTATTTTCTTCACTGAAATGATAGATTTCTGCTGAAAAGCTTCTATGGCCAATGGTGTCATAGATCTGTTTGGTGTACCCTTGCAGGTATGGACAGTTTAGTTTCTTGAGATGTCAGTGAGCAAATTATATTGATGTTTGCATTTGTTTTCTTCAGTCTACCAATTCTCAGTCACCATAATAGATCTTTGGCACTATTATTTGGGCATTTTGTGTATTGTTTCTGAGCCAAGCAAGATTGTTTGCTCTTGATATAGTAAGCTGGAGTCCTTATAAAATGGAAAGGGTAAATTTGGTTTTATAAATCTGATGTTTTATAGTTCACACAAATAATAGTCTTCATGCCCATAGTATATGTAAATATTTGAACTATTTGGAACAATTTTTTAAAAAACAGTATTTATTTTATAGAATTTTTTGATTTGAGAAGAAAAATTGATATACTGAACAGGACAAACACAGAAAGGAATAAGTCCTGTCTCAAAACACAGCAAGTCTGTCTCTGCTGAGTGTTTGTAAGAGGCAGTATAGGTGTCATTAGGAAATGACTCCATCATAGTGGAAGAAATGGAAGGATATGATAGCACATTTTGGCAAATTAGTTAAGTCAGAAGTCAAATCTAGTTGCTTGTGCTGTGGCACAGAAAGATCTTCTTGAGCTGTAGAAGTGAACCACTTTAAACAAAACACTCTAGATTTAAGTGAATTCATTGTTTAATTTAAAGAAACAGGAAATAAAAAGGCAAAAGAAAGTAATATTCTTTTCGTCAGATTCTTGATTGAAGAGGCAGTTAGAAATTTCTTAAATATGGTATCAATGAGTTATTGGAAGATAAAAATCCAAGTAAAGCAAAATATTTGATCTAAAATTGCTAAAAGTAATTTTAAGATAGAGTTTTCCATTTTTTGTGCTAGTCTGAAAAATGTAAAACTAAACTAGAATTTAAAAATAAAAGCAAGGGATATTAAGATTCATAGATTATATGGAAAGGACAAAATGTAGTTGGATTAATCTTGGCAAGGACAAGATTTGCTGTTGTACCCAAGTGAGCAACAGTCATCTTGGCTAGAACAGAAGGAAGCAAAATGGAAAATAAGAGTGGTTATGATGAACGTTCATCGCTGCTGAGGGAAGGCGTGTCTATTCAGTTTAGTAACTGAAGCCAGCCTTAGCAGCGTATGAGATTTGCCTTAGACTTTGGGTCTCTAGGTTTTGAATGCTTGGTAGAACAAATAGATATGACAGTATATCTTTCCCCACTTTTTGCCTTGCCTTCCATCCTGTCCAGAGATGTGAATAATAATGCCTGAATCCTGTAACTCTTGTGGCTACTGCAAAGATTAATTAAATAAAGCCTGTAAGACATTTTTTTACTCCTTGAAAATTTGTGTAAGTATACAGGATCATCACCATAAGTTATTCTAGGCATTTCATATTTAATTCAAAAGCTTAAATTATATCTATTAGTCCTGCAGGCTGCAGAGTGGTTTGCCATCAGCAGTATGCATCATGCACACACCCCACACACACACCCCCCCCACACACACACACTTCCTAGTTCATTGAAACCTGGGAAGAATTTAAAATTGTAATTTGCTCTCTTCGTCATCACTAGATGATGAAGAAAAGATAATTTAATTTGGATTAGCTAAACTAGGTAAGCTAGGTCAGTAGAGGAGGAGCTAGCTCATGGAGGTACACCCCCTTAGGGGCCTGCCCAGTGAGGCCGTACTGCAGAGAAAATGTGCCACCATTTACTGTGTTTAGTCAGTTGAAAAATGTTCATGGAATGTCTTTGGAGTGTAAGGCATGTCAGGGAATTGACCATATACAAATACCTGTCCTTTATGAGGCTGATACCTCTTAAGGCCCAAGTTTTTAAAGAAATCTAATCCTTCCCGTGAACTTTTAACTTCATGGAGAAGTCTCTTGATTTTCATTTTCAACTGACAATCTGCCTGTTTATAAAAGAAGAAATGAATGTCTGATTGAAATTTGGAAATGTTATGCTTCTTTTCTTGAAACAGTATTAATCTTTCACCTCCTTCATGAGCTAAATAGTTCTCTTCCCTAACCCTTAAAATACTAGCTGTCACCATATGTATTATAACATTTAATTCTATTTAGCTTTATTGTAAGTTTATGATAAAAGTTTTATTTTTTATTTATTTACTGTTATTAAATGGACCTTAAGGAACTTAGGATGAGGGATAACAAGATTTTGACTGAATACTACTGAGTAGTTAACTATTACAGCTAACTTTCATTTAATACTTCTTCCTTTCAAAGTGCTACTCTTAAAAGGGTAAGAACAACACCTCCTTAGCAATCCTGGGAGTTAAGTGTTGTCTTCTTTATGAATAAATA